CGGTGGGCCGAGGAGAAGTCGGACTGAGCCACGAGCTCGGCGGCGCTGAAAAGGAGGCGGTGGGGAGCTCCGGCGGCGGCGGAGGAGGAGAGCCAAATATGCGGCGGAGGGTCGGCGTCGACGTCGGTGGAGTCGTCATCGTGGTGGGAAGAGGAGCTTGACGATTTCAGGGAGTGGAGCATTTGAAAAGATCCGATGAGCCTTTGGTTCATGTGATGAGATCTCTCTCTCTCTCTCTCTCTCTCTCTCTCTCTTCTCTCTTGAAAGTGAGTCCCTTTCAAGGCTAATAATAATAATCCCTTTACCTGAAGGTATATAGAATATGATTATTCAATTCATACATATATATATATATATATACACGAACAGCGGCATGTGTGCGTCTGTGTATACATGTATCAATGTATGCGTATCATCTATGGATAGATATGAACGTGTGGACCGACCAAACGAAGGAAAAATCAATGAGTTAGATCTGTACACACGCATACATGTATATATATGTATACACTTTTAGTAGAAAAGTAACAAACCCCGGGTTTCTCATCTGAACTCTCCAACGCGATTACAGTTATCGTTTTCTGATATTAATTATGATTATATAGCATTCAGAATATTCGTTTTAATTACAATATCATAATGATGTGGACTGACCATTTGAAATATATTATAGTTGCTCCTCTAACCAGGAGCTAATGGATTTCTCTATACTATCGTAATATATATGGCCGGATATTTCAAATGTCAAAACATGTTACTGGTCTTATTCCAATTTACAAGGGACAAGTTAAATCTGTCCAACAACAACAACAAAAAAACGTGCCTATTGTGAAGATATAGTTTTGCACCAACATATATAGTAACTTAACTTTAAATTTAAGTGTATTGTATCATATTCATATGTATACATATATATATATATATATATATGTGAATATACCAGAGGCTGAAAGCTGTGCATATTATATTAGCCTCATACATTGTGTTTTTACACACGCAAGATTGTGAGCGGCGAGTGCATGTACATACGTACGTGCATACATACATACATACATACATACATACATACATACATACATACATACATACATACATACATACATACATACATACATACATACATACATACATACATACATACATACATACATACATACATACATACATACATACATACATACATACATACATACATACATACATACATACATACATACATACATACATACATACATACATACATACATACATACATACATACATACATACATACATACATACATACATACATACATACATACATACATACATACATATTGCGTTGGATGAATCTGAGTCGATGCATGTGGGCCACTGTGGCAATTGATTATATGGCCAGTTGCAGAATTTATGCTTGTAGGATTATATATTTAATGAGTAGAAATGGGCTTTTCTCATGGGAGATTCCGGTGCAGAGGAAAGTGCCTATGCAACCAATCTTTTTTTTTAAAAAAAAAAGAGGGATTTTTGGTTCATGAAAAAACTAAAATACAACAAAATATTAAAGAAAAAAGGGGGAATCTGGAAATCTTGGGATATGTCAAAAAGAATAATAATAATGATAACAATTAATAATAATAATAATAATAAAACGGAGTAACTTTGCTTGTGAAGTCGAAAAGCTATTCCCCAAAACGCTTCCTGTTACCTTTTTCACTTATCGGATTTACCAAAATGGAAACGATATGCAAAAGATCTCTCATCAACCCCCTTCAAGCGAGAGTTCTCTCTCTCTATATATATATACATATTCGCACACATACATATATATATATATATATGTTATAGTAACTTATAGTGCATGCCTATAGGCAGGCACATATAAACTCTCACATTGAGTTATAGAATCTTTCTTGAAATGGAGAGGTTATTGGGCATCTTTAGACTACTATGTCTATGTATGATATATGGAGCATCTCGCCGTATGATATATAAATGCACCGTCATATATATAAATGTCTGGATATCATAGTGAATAAATTCGATATGATTTAATTTTTAATTATTAGCATCAAAATAAACATATTGGGCTAGAGATCCATTAATAATGGGAGGAGGGGAGGTAATTAAATGAGCAATAATTAGGAGTTGGTAAGGCCACAAAAAGGACAAAAGAATTAGATGTGCCTTTTTTTTTTTTTTGGTTCTGTAACAACACAGAGATCCCATAATTTTGCACTAAAAATTAAGCACTTTATTTGTTACATCCAAGTCTTGTCATTTATGCCATTAAATTGAGCCAAAGTGACCATCACACACATACATACATATATACATATATATATACATATTGTCACTTCAATGAATATATATATAAATAGATAAAGAAGTCACTTCTTCGACCGAAAATTATTTAGGATGACAACTCGAGGGTTAACATTCATGTCAAGTTAAAATCTACAAGTTATTTAATTTTATTCCAAAGAGGTTATGATGATGGTATCTAATAATAAATATAGGAGAAAAATTATTTTTTAAAAAAAATTGTATGGCTGATTTTTTAGAAGATATTTGTATTTTTAGGTTATGGTTCTTACAATTTATTTGTTCAAACGATATCACTATATGGTGATATTAGCAATATTCTTAAATCAATGGTTTTTTAATTTACAAGGTTTAGTTTCAGTTTGGTTTGATTATTTTGTTGTTATTGGTATCTTTGAGAATATTACTTCTAACTCGATATACATATATATATATATATGTATTTCAAATTTGAATAAAATAACAGAAAATTATTTATATCTCTCTCTTAAATCAAACAGACACAAATTTGCAAGGATTTAGCTTGGTATTAGATGCAATTAGGTTAAGGTAAATGGATAGAGAAGATTCCATGTGACATTTTTTTTTTATAATAGTCCGTTCACATAAGAAATAATTTATTTATTTTATTTATTGAGTTTCTTAAAATAATATTGAGAAAAGAGAGGAGAGGAAGAGGGAGCACGCAAAGAAATAAATGAGGCAGGGAGGCTTAACCCAAAAGATTGGACGAAGGCTGACACTTTTGCCTTTTGTCGTATTATTATTATTATTATTATTATTATTTTATAAGCGATGGGACATTGAGGAATATGACCTCTCCTCCCTCTTTCTATTTATTATACCAACATTCTTTCTGTTCCTAATCAACTAATATGCTAATTTAATTTCCTTTGAAAATAATAATAATAATAATAATCATATCTAATCATATAGCCTTTTTAGAATAATCTGAAAGATTACTAAGACAGAATATACGGTGTATATATAGGTGTAAGTATATCTATATATATATGTGCAGCAAAGATTCTTCTTCAGCATAAGTTGATGAATCCTAATTTTTCAATTGAATGATAAAAATAATGTGGAATAAAATTTGGGGTAATTCTCGACTGTGGGGTCCATAAAGAAAATTATTAAATAGAGAAAGAGTACAAAAGATTGGGGGAAAAAAAAAAGATAACACGGAAAAACCTTACCGTTTCCACTCCTTTTGTTCCCCACGCGCCACGCACGTGCACGTCAAGATCCTTTCGCACGTGTCAACGCCCTTATCCTCTTAGTTTTTTTTTTCTTTCTCATGCAAAAAATCAATATAATAGCAAGCTGCATATAGGCGATGTGCTATCGTTCATATCAGCTTTTGTTTTGTTTTTATAATAATTTGGATGTCTGTTTTCTGTATGTTTTTCTGATACATACGATACGGGTATAGATTTTTTTTTTCATTATAAAATATTGCATCAAATTTGATTATTTTATAAGATTATTTATTATACGTTTCTAAATCCCACTGTATAATTTGAATATGAGTATATGCATATATATATATATATATATGTGTGTGAAAGAGAGATAGTCGAGTCAAGAAGTATAGTCGCGAATATGAGATTGGTAAAAATAGAATATGAGTTGGTTATTTTTTTTTCCCCTTTAGATTGCATGAAAAATCATGTAGTACGATATCTAGTGACGTAAATAACACGTAATTGTTGGGCTTAAAACTCAAATAATTAGGCCCATTTGTTCCATGCCCAATCTTCGGTTTCACACGAATATGGATAATTTATCTGGTAATAAAATTATTTAACTTAATTGATTTTACAATTTCTATTCAATTCCATAGTTTAGGGCACGGTAAAGGAAATATATATATATATACATATGTATGTTGTTTCAGGATTTTTTTTTCTGGGTAAAACTGGTAACTAATGTGTGTATGGTAAGAATTCAGACAAATGAGATATCTGCTTATTTTCATGCAACTTTCATGTGTTACAATATGAGAAACAACAATAAAGAAAAAAAAAATGATTATAATCATGCGATCGTTTGAGAAAAGAAAAAAAAAACCGTTGGGAGGGAAAGATGGACATATACATACATACATGTCAAATTCATGTATATATGAATAAGCCATTTACATCCTTTAAAAAAAATCCATAATAACTTTAAATAAGATCCAAAATACAAAATAATCAAAGATCAAAATTAAAAGAACAAAAAAAAAAAAAGAAGACTCGTTGTATCCTCTTTTTGCTTAGTTTAACGTCGTTGTTTTTTGTAATAATTTTGGGGTAATTAATAAAATGAATTAGGCTCAGGCATAAGGCTGAGGTTTGGGCAAGCCCTTGACGAGACCGCACTGGAGGCTGTTCTGAGGCATGTTGTATTCGTCTCTGAGGGAAGACTCGGGGGAGAGAACGCTTAGGTAAAGCTGTTGCCCCAGGTATCGCCTCTCCATATTCTCCGACCGGACATTCCACATTCCGCAGTTGTCGAATGACAGCAAGACCGCCGCCCAGCATTTCGGAAACACCTGCACCGTGTGCCTGCTCACCGCGTCCAGCAGGTTGTAGTTCTCCCTCTTCTCTGGGGTCCACGTCCCCGGCTCCACCCTGTATATATGTATATCCGTATGTATGTATGTATCAGAGACACAGAGAATATGGATGCCTTAGTTTTTTGATTGTTTGGCAAGAAATTAAGTTGGATCTTGATGTGGCTAGCTTGCGGTTCAAGAAAATGAGATTTTTACTTACGCGACGGCGAAGAAAGCGTAACCATCGATGTGCCAGGACTGGACGCTCCTCTCGTGGTTCTCGAAGATGACCTCGACGAAAGTGCGGTGAGTGACATTGAGGATGTTGGGTTCGATCTTGATGGTCTTGGTCTGGTCGGAGGTGGGGCTGTCGGAGATGATGTTATACTTGAACACCTTGTCGGCCATTCCAAAGTACTCCGCCAGCTTCACCGGTGTCTCTGGGTCGGTGTGAGAGACGCCGCTCAACGCATACCTGAGCTTACCATCGGCCTTTCCCTGGGTGTTGACGAATTTGATGGTCCTAGTGATGTTGATCTTCCCATAGTGGTATGACCCCTGAGGGTTCGGCCTGGCCGCGCTCGCCGTCAGGTTCCACCTGAATGACCTGAACTGGTTCAACGACCACGCCCACCCGACCGGAGCAGCCGGGATCTCCGACGAGGCCGGGCCTTTCCCACCGTCGTACCGGAGAACACCGGTGGTACTGATGACTGACTTCAAGAACCTCGAAGAAGCAACCATGAGGTAATCTTTAGGATCTTGGTCCGCGGTCACGATGGTTCCGTAGCATTGCCCGACATGGACGTCGAGAGAGTCGTAGTCATTCTGGAGAACGTGCGATCCTTCCATCTCGACAAGCTTCATCTTATGGTTCTGGATTCTGAAATTGAGAGATGTCTTGATCCCGACGTTACAGATCCTGACACGGTATGTCTTGCCGGGCTTCATGGTGAAGAGCGGGGCATCGGAGCCGGACGACCCTTTGCCGGACTTTCCGTTGATGAGGATACCGTCGGGCCGGCCGAGGGAGCGGCCGCTGTCGAGGAACTTCTTCAAGGCGGTGTGGGACTTAGCGTACCAGTCGCCGATAAGGACGGTGTAATCGTCCTCTGGGTCGGCGTAAGGGACGGGGATGAGGAGACGGCTGTTGACTCGGAGGCCACCGAAGCCACCGGCGGCTCGGTGCATGGCCGTGGTCGGGTAATAGAAGTAGCTTCCGATCTGATCCTTTGGTTGAAAATGGTAAGTGAAGTTCGAGCCCGGTGGGATCGGACACATCGTGCCCGCTGTCCCATCTTGCCACGAGTTCTTCCTATGTTGGATCCCATTCCTAGAAAGATACAGAAATCAGAAATCGACCCACAAAAAAACTCGATACCTAGATCTTACCTTTGAGCCATTTTAAAACGAAATCAAACAACATAAATATATATATACATATTCATATATACCAGGTCAAGAGAAAGGGTTCGTCGAGGTTGTTGAAGACATTGATGATGATGTTGTTGTTGGAAGTGGAGTTGATGTTGGGGCCGGGGAACTGGCCGTTGATGAGAATGACTTGTTGTGGAACTCCGAGAGGGGAGGCTGTTCCGTACGTCACGTTCCACACGTGGTGGAAATAAGGGTCCTCAGCTTGAACCACCACCGTAGCCGCCGCCACCATACATATCACCGCGGCCACGAATTTCACCCCTCCCATTACAATAAACAAACAAATGGGTTTCCCGATTTATTTATTTTCTTCTTTTTTATTATTTTGGCTTATTTTTGTTTATTTATTGTGATTTAGGGTTTGGATGTCTGAAGTTCCACCCTCGTGTCGGGCGAGTTTTTATAAGGCGGGAGATTCACTACAGTTTCCTTGAATTTCTCGTCTTCTTTTGGACCTCTCATTACGCTC